ATAATCTTGTTTGGCTTTTGTACGGGGACCGATGATTGTATTAACATTAACTATATCAGAATGCTCTTCTTGTTGACTTTAAAAAAAAAAAATAATAATAATAATAAAAATAAAAATAATTATTATTATTAACAAGTTTTTTTCGAAATATGTTTCGAATCATCAAATTATCGAAATATTGAAATAATGAAATATTGAAATACGAAAATAAAATTTGAATAAAAAAAAATAAAAAACATACACAATGCTTCTTTTACGTTTAGATCCATTGACCATTAATTCTGCTTTGTGTTCCATTTTGAGTTCATTTAATTTGGCGAAATCTGCTGGTGTAAGAAGCTATTTGATGAATATTACAAAAATTAAATTAAATTAATTAATTAAAATATAACAAATTAATATATGACAATTTAAATATGTTTACGTTAGTCATGGCCAAAGTTGATGGTTTCTTTTCCGCTTCAATTTTCATAGAATCATTTTTATCATTATTATTATTATTATTATTTTGTTCATCAATTTTTTCCTTCTCATCATCACTACAATAATTATTAATGACAATATCGTGATCTTCATCCGAAGAAACGTCAATCCAACCTTCGTCGTCATCTTCAGATGTTGAATTTGATAATATTTCCCATCCTTCCCATTCTATTATTATTATTATTATTATTATTATTATTATTTAAAATCTAAATTTGCGTCAAAAATAATAACAATAATAAGATAATAATAACAAAATAAATCAAAAAACCGTTATTACCATTTTCTACTTCTTGCATTTTTTGTTTATACTCTTCCAATAATTCTATTCCTTCAACTTTATCAGCGATAATCTGTTGTCCAAATTTCAATGGTACAAACTCTTTCATGGTCATACTTACAAGTTTACCCTAAGAATAAAATATCACAAAAAAAAAAAATGAATAAAATAAATTAAATAAATTAAATAAAATAAATAAAAAGATAATAAAAAGATTCATCATAAATTTACTCTATCCTTTCTCTTTAATAATTCTGGATTAATCTCACGAAACAATCCAATTAATGATCTTGCAGCCATCATCACACTCTTATCCCTATCTGAACGATATTCGGTTAAATCTTGTAATAAGGTAGCATCAATGGCTAATGGTTGACGAACACAAATTTCTCTTATGGCATTTAATCTAAAATTATAAAAATTTATAAAAATTATAAAAGTTGAAAAATTTATAAAATTTATAAAGTTATAAAAAAAGGTTTTCCTAAAATGACATTATCATCTTTACAATCTTACTACAATCTTATAATCTTACTACAATCTTACAATATTATTACAATCTTTACAATCTTACGATCTTTACACCTACCCAGCAGCCATAACTCCATTAGAACAATGATCAGAAACAAAATTATTCGTAATAGCTTTTATAACTGGTTCCAATACATCAGGTGGAATCAATCCGTGACTTGCTTGAGCAATAATAACTAATACCATTGTCACATCTCTTTGATGTGGTTGTATGTAACGAA